GGAATCTATTATCAGAAATGCCTCTAATGGTGATAAAAGTGGCTTTAAGCATTTATTCAATTTCATTTCTAAAATGATGGTTATAAATCAACCCGAAACCCTTCCTGAAAAACACTGCTATCCTCCAAGCTTTTATGAGCATTTACGGAAGAATGATTCCTCCTGTGTCAGATGTTATGAAAGACAGTTCATACTTCAAATAATGTGATTTATAAGTTGAGATTGTGAAGTTAAATTTAATAAAGCTCAGAGAAGATGCATGAGCCTCAAAAGGCTTAATAGAGATCTTTCAGAGTTGAGATGCTACCCTTGTTTTATATGAGCTTCTCTGTATTCTTGTGTAAGCTGTGGTTAGTGATAGATGCAGCAGAACCACCCACCACAGAACATTTACCTTCTTTCCTCTTCTTTTTCTCTCCACAAGAATTTAACTGATGAAGGATTGTATACACACATCTCATTACTTTCTTCAGTCATCATGAAAAACTAAAGGACTTTCCAGTATTCATGTTTGCTCTTAAACTGCCAGCTTTTATTTTTGGTGATGTAATTTCTCAAAGAAAGATTAATATGTTCAAGAAGTTGTTAGGAGGTTTATTACTATTTTAATTTTATTTTGAAATCCAGATGATAAACTTTTGAAAATCAGCTGCTCACATCAGGGAAAGTACCACAAACTCATGAAAAGCTTATCATGATGGAATTTCCTCCAAATATACTTTTCAATATTGATTTAGGATTTGACATTTTAAATTGAAAGATTTAGTAGGATTTAATTTCAATTCATCACAATGAAAAAAAAATAGGACACTGAAATTATTCTTACAGAAAATTATATTTATGAAAAATAAAAATATTTTAATTTCAGGAGTTTAGTCACCAAAATCTTACCTCAGACAGGATTTCAAAAAACTGATATGAATCCTAAGAGAATGTGATAGAGCCTGGAAAGAGAGACTAGGCCAGAAGAACTTTGGCATTTAAACAAGCTGAAGTTGTCTAATTCCCCATACACATTGCTGTTCATTGTTAGATTAATATTCCAGTTTCTGAAACAATCCAGGCTTAGTTGTTCCTGTTACAGTCCCTTTGTACATTTACAGTGCCATCAACAAAACAGCAAAATCCAAGTCTGAAAAATGAAACTAATCTAGCTGAGATTACTACAGAAGAAATGCAGATTCAACTGTTTCCTTCCATTAGTGTGTCAGGAATTGACTCTCAGGAGGAAAACTCATGGATTCATGCCAATCATCTAAGTTGTAACTACAATGTAATTTGATGCAAATCATTATTGCATCTAAACTGCAAGTAGAAATACATTAAACAGAGTTCTAGTTCACCAACAATCAATGAAAATGTTATTTTAAGAAATTATTTCTGGGAACAAAATATTTAATGACTATTCCATTCATACATGCAGTGTTTCTTTTCCCATGGTAGAAATAAAAATTTAGTTTCAAATATTAAATAAATGAAATATAATTAATATGTTTAAAAGCTTCATATGGCTTGAACAGATGTGACCATTATTCATGGATCATTTATGATTTTTGTTCTTTGCCTTTGTTGCAGTTCAATAACAAAAGTCATTATTTGAAGATAATGTGTAGAATATCCTGAAATTCAGCTGAAATTTGAGATAGAGAAATCAGAGGTCCGGAAAATTCTACTGCAGCCTGCAAGTGTAGACACTCCAGAAATATATCACAAGTTAATTTAAATTAACTTAGGATTGTTCAAGGCTAATTTTTTATAGAAACATATTTTAAGCCTGATACAAGGAAAGAGTTATTCAGGGTAGAATAGATTAATTTTGGGAAGGTTCAGGTTCAAGATTTCCCTTTGTTGTCCCAGGGTGAAATACAGGTTCTCCAGCAGTTCAGGAGCTCGCTCTGGAGTCAGATCTTTGAATCACCAGACATTTGAATTGAAGTGTTTGAGGTGAGCACTTCAGGTCAAAATAATAAGGGTCAATGAAAGTATTTTTTTTAATTTCTACAATTCCAATTGTATTATTTTGAGTCCCTGAATGTCAGTAGAGCCTCATACAAAATCACAGAACCACTGAACACCCTGAGTTGGGAGGGACCCACAGGCATCATTGAGTCCAACTCCTGGCCCTACACAGGACACCCCAGAGTCACACCACGTGTCTGAGAGCATTGGCCAAAGCTTCTTGAGCTCTGTCAGGCTGTGCTGTGACCCCTTCCCTGGGAGCTGTTCCAGTGCCCAACCACCCTCTGGGTGAAGAACCTTTTCCTGATATCCAACCTAAACCTTCTCTGCCTCAACTTCATGACATTTCCTCAAATCCTGTCCCCAGTCAGGAGAGTGAAGAGATCAGTGCTTGTAGATGGATTGGTCAATTATAACCATTGCTAGAGACATCAAATATAAAATATTGTTAGTGCATTGAAGCATCTTCAATAGTGTCCTGTTTGCCTGAAATGTTTTGTAACTCTAGAGTACTATATTTCTCTTTCATTTTCTGCATTTCTCATACACACATATAGTATTACATTTGAGTCTTGATATCCTGTGATGGTATCTTAGAAGTGTAGAAGGATAAAAGGCATCATAATGCCCAGTGCATTTTAAGGTATTGCTTATTTCAAGTTTAATCTTTGGCATGGAAAAAGAAAATGTGAAAGAATATTTATCATCTGAGTATTACTCAGTAATGGGAATCTAGCATTCTTTTTCTTTCACAATAAATATTTGATCTTCAGTCTTTCAGCACTGCTATGTTTATCTCTCAGATCACATTAACCTATGACTGTTTCTGTGCAGTGTCGAGTTACACAGTGGAAACTTCCACACCTCCTATTAAAGAACAAAAGATTGTGGGATTTAAAGAAAGGTAGACAAATGCATAACAGAGAACTCCACAGGCTCCTAAGCACAGATATATATATATATACCATAGCTTTGGTAAAGAAATCCCAGCTTGCTGGAACCTCGGAAAATATACTGGGAAAGTTTTGTATTGCAGTCACAATGGTGTAATTTTTTTAAGCCTTCAACAAGGTATTAGATTAGTTCAGATCATTCATATCAAGTGAAGAGCACATATGTATTTATATAATTAGGTCCTTTTGGACCTAATTTGGAATCAATTTTGGGTTCAAATGCTTTCTATCAGAGTACAATTATACTAAAGCTGTGTTCACTCAAGACAGAACACAATTTGGCTTTTAATTTGTAAAAGGTGCTAACCTAGCACCAAGAGTGAGCTAAGGGATGGGCAGAACATTGTAGGTTGGGCAGTGACCTCAAGTAAGACAGCTAAAACTCAAAAACACAAGATCAATGTGCAATGTAGCCATCTGCAGCCAATCAAGCTATTCCCAGACTGAATAATTTTCATATTGTAATGGGGTTTATGTCCCCTCCACCTTTTCATTTTCTGAATGATACACGTCATTAGATAAGGAGGAAAACTCTGCATCCCATTACCACTATCACTACAGAAGGAAAGAGCCAGCAAATATTTTGAGCTGCTGATGTAGTTGAAGCTAGTCATTGCTTGACCAGCATTTTCTCACAATCATGTGTGACCAAAAGATTGTGTCTAGCATGGAGAAGGGAAATTCTAGGTGACAAAAAGGCACTTTTCTGTTGTCCTGTGACAGTAATTTTTGGAGAGTAATTGAGTTTTGAATTTTCTCTGAATCAACTTTAAAAAAGAAAATAATGGTTGTATTTGATGTTATATATAATAGAAATAATTCATGCTGTAGATAGATATATGTAGATATAGATAAATAGATAAAAGATATATAAAAATAGATATAGATAAAATAGATATATGTATGTATAAAATATTAGGAGAAAATCAAACCTATATTTGTAACCACTCTGGCCGGGAACAGCATTCTATTCACATTATAACCAATTCCCTGCGTTAAGATAATATCAAACCTGTTACCCCTTAAGATAATATCAAACCTGTTAAGATAATATCAAACCTGTTACCCATTAAGATAATATCAAACCTGTTAAGATAATATCAAACCTGTTACTGTATGAGTGGGGAAGCCCTAGGCCATGAACTAAGTCTGACCGGGAATGGAGTTATGCACATTGTAACCGATTCCCGGACAACGAAGAGACAATTCCAGACCTGAATAGGACAGACTGGAGCTATCAGAGAGGGTTTCCTCTGGCACCAGCATTTGGAAGATATCATCTGGACCTTCCTGGAGATGATTAATGGAATGTCTCAGAAGCTCACAAGACCATGCGCCTGGACTGATTAAATCTACAGTACTCAAGGAGCTGGCATCACCTACTCCATGTGAATACATCTTCTGCCTGGGTACTCAGACACTTGTCTGGGTCTTGGACACTGTCTTTGTCTGTTCCTGCACATGTATGGATTCAACTTTACATGCAAGGGGACACAGAGAAATATGTGTTCATCTCTGCCTCAGGCAGAATAAACTGTATATAAGCTGGCTGTGAAGAGCACTGGGGTGAACCTGAGGGGCAACGCTGTCACTCTGTCAGCAGGAGCCCAAGGTCACCCAGCGGCTGCACCCGGGGCTGACGCTGTCTTGGCTGTGGTGGGATTTCAAAATTCTCTATTTTTTTGTTATTCGATCTAATAAATGTCTGTTAAATTTTTGTAAATTTGGCTACAGATTTACTCATTTATAACATTTGATATTCCCCAGTTTTATTAGAGAGGTTTAGTCCAGGTATTGTCAAACACAAATGGGACAGGAAACACATTTCAACACAGTGTTGTAACAATTTGGAGAGAAACCAAAGCAGAAATGAACAGATGAATATGATATTTAAATATTTCTATTAAAAAATACACCTTAAAAATATTAATGAAAAATATAACTCCCTGTGAAACCTAATACCTTCAACAAAGGAAGTCACCAAAAATCTTTTGTTGTTTTCAGCTTTCCAGCCTTCCATATTCTGAACTGATTCAGCAACAAGGAGGAAATGAGAGCTCCATGAAAGCATTTGAATGATTTTCTTACCACAGATTGACCAGGAAGGGATGTTCCAGGCCTTGCATTATCTGCAGCTCCCGGAAAACATTGCGGACTTCATCTCTCTCAATGCATTTCTGTTTATTCATATACTTCATGGCATACATTTTCTTGGTGTCTCTCTTCTGTACAATGCACACCTAATTGGAATCAAAGTAAAAGAAAAATGTTGACACCTTGAGAAAGTGAATTCAATTGTGACTTCGGAAAAAAGTCACAATTTAAATATCTTTAATGATATTTCAATAATTCAGATCTGGATATTACAACTGAGTAACACATTCAGTAAGTTCACTTCACAGCTCTGCAGGATTCTTTGTAATAGATTCTAATTAAAAATTAACAAAAACCCAACCCTACCCTGTATAAGAGGAAATGGGGACCCAGAAAAATATCATAACTTTCAGAACTTACATGCTAAAGCTGAGAGTAATATGCTACAATGGCTGAAATCACAGGCTATTTAATTATTCAGAGAAATTACTGCCTCCTGCCTAGGAAAATGCTCAGTCATTGTCCTCATTCCTACAAGTCAATACTCACATCTTGATTATTGCATCATAAACCTTGCCTGTGTTCCCAAGGCTCAATATTTCACCTAAATATCAGAATTAAGCTCCCTTAATTACTGTTGAAAGGAAAAGAATTTTTATACGGGTATTAATCATAATATTTCTGAATTCACAAGAGACCATTACAATTATTTAGTCTCTGGCAGTAAATGTCTATGCTTTTACTTTATCTTTTTTTTTTTTTTTTTTTGACAAAAGCCAAATAATGCAAATGCATGAAGAAAATCTTAGTCAAGAGAACTTCCATAGGAATTCTGGATTTCTTTTTGTCTGGTATTTTACCTTGAGAATGGAGCTGAAGACTGGCACAAGCACCACAACCAAGTATCAGGTTAAGTACAATTTTTGGCAGCAGAGAAATACATAATTGTTCTGAATGTACTGGAAACAACACATTTAGGTATCCCAGGCCTGCAGTGTCTAAGTTCAAAGGTATTCTGGATTCACTTGGTGTGGGCATTATTTTTTTATTTGTACATTTAAATACATACACATACACGCGCAAATACATGCTCCCGTATTTTACACACCAAAATTTATACTACACCCTCATAAATTCATGTTAAGAGATCAGATTACAACACAGTGGCAGCCAAAAAGAAATCCTTTGTGACTGACATAAGTTTAAGGAATTTATGCACCCGATATTTAGGAATAATCAGGAGTAACTAAGGCAACTTCCCACAGCTGAAACTGGGAGGAACAGGGCCAGTGAAGTCAAACCATGTCTATTCCTCTGAAATTCTATTTTCATAAAATGTGTCCTTGAGCACAAATCTACTCCAAATAGAGGAGTTAATAGAGTACCTTTAACATATAAGGCATGATTAAGCAGTGTTTCTAATTACCTTTCCTACTATCAGGAGATGTTCTGCTATTAAGGAAATCAGGGATGGTAACAATTTGTTATGAGCCCATTAATTGTTGCACCATGCTGAGTACAGAAGTTTTGTTACATTTTGCACCTTGGACATTTATGAAAGATCTGAAAACTGTTGATGCTCTTAAGATAACTAAAGGTTCACATTTATATGGAAAGAACCCTGGCTGTGGAACAATGGAGAATTGTCTTTGGCCTTTTGGAGGAAGAAAAAGTAGCAAGTGGGATCGAGCTGAAACAGAGTGGGAAAAGTGGGGATGAAAATGAATTTTTCAAGCTCCCCCAGGTCCTTCAAAAGCATAAGCAGAATTTTCAGGGGCAAATCCTGACATCCTGTCTTAGAATATGTGGAGAGTTCAATTTAGCAAGTCACAGTATAAAGTGCAACATTTGGGGATTTTAGCTCAGAACCTAAGTCCAGAAATTCAGCCATGTGCATTAGTTTGCATCATGATTTTCATGTACAACTTGGCCAAGAGTTAGGTGTTTGCAGAAGCTTCCTAGTCCATTACATTAAAAGCCTCCCTACTGAAGGATTGACGTGAGAGACTGCTGAGAGAATGGGTTTGAGAATTACAGGTTTGACCAATGTGGCAAACCAAGATCATATGTAGCACCAAAATATGCAATGTAAACCAGTTTTGCAATGCTGCTGGGACTCCAGAAGGCACTCAGCTCTCTTACCTGGCAGTAAAGACAAGGGTGTTCAGCACAGCTGAAACAGACCTTCTGTTGTTGGTAAAAGCTTGCCTAACACACAGCTTCAGAGCAGAATGATAGTAAACATTTTCTAGCAATGTGCACCTACACAAATGCTTTAACACAGTTACAAAATCAATAGGATTTTAATGAATATAATGAAGCTACTTCCTACTAAAAATCAGGAAACACAACCTGCATCCATATTAATGTTATTTTGAAAAATGCCTGACATTGCTATGACAGCACTGGATTGTATTGGAGATCCTCCCTGGCACATCTACCTGCTGGCTGTCAGCTCTTCTCCTGAGCAGGACAGCAATGGATTGAAACTTTCCACTAAAGCAAGAAAGAAAAGAAAAGCCCTTGAGCCCTTCTCACATGTGCAGTCTTAATGGAAAATGTTTAAGCTGGGGGTTTTTTTGTTCCAAAGGAGCAATTTTTAAATAGGGATAAACAGGTGCTCTGGAGCCTCAACAAAAAAATTCTGTGATGACTCATTATGATGAAAGTCTGTGCAGAACTGCCTTATTTACATGGATCAGTATGGAAGCCTGTGACACTCACACTCTCCATGTTTCTGTGAATATCATTTACCAAAGGCCAGACAGTGTGATGATTCAGAGCAAATATGTGTTCTGAACTCAACAACTATCCAGCTTCATAGTCAGTAGAGAAGGACAGCAACCATCTCCATAAGGTGTGGCTCTAAAGAGGTACAGGGGGCTATCTCTGTACCTGGAATGGTTTCCCTCTAATGTCCCCTAAAGAGGCTGTAGATTACCAGTTTGGATATAGGCATCTGTGTGGTACATGTTTAAAGGCAGGCATTATGAGCCCCATTAATTTTCTCTGGAAGGGTATAGTGCTATTTTTAAAAATCTGCTGTGAAAATATTCCCTTTCTAAAGGTTTTTTTTTACGTATCTTAGTTGTTATCACAGGGTGGTGTCTTTTGTTATTTCTGGTAGAAGGTAACAGTGAGTTGTCTTAAAACCTATCAGGTTAGAAGAAATTTGACCAGAGAGTGACTTGGGGCCACTTTCCCTCAGAATCTGGGGAAGGAAGACAATAGATTATGGCTGCAGGGCTAATCTTCATTTTTCAAGAGCAACATGTGCTGTGGCCCACTTCTAAACTACCTTCTTGGATTTCCTCTAAACTACTTCCTTGGATTTCACATGCAAAAAACAGAGAAGCTTGCTGAAGGAAGCTGCACAATGCTGTGTTGGCAGAGAGCAACCACGGGTAGCTTCCACAAAGTCCTTCCCAGAGAAAAGACAACGATGGCTGAAATATTGGACTTGCTGCAAAACACAGATCTTTCCTGTTTCCCACTAGAAGAGACTTACAGCTGCTATGTGCATGGTGTGGAAAGAACAAGGTGCACTTAGTGTCAATTCTGGTCTAAATTTAGCACAGGAGTACTTAGACCTCTCAGACTGCCACAAGATGTGGTTTCACAACAGATGATAAAGGAGGAGAGAGGCAAACCCACAGCCAGAAGAACCTCTGCATGAGGCCACTGCTGGGTGGAGAGCTGGAAGCTGGGCTGCTCACTCACCCATGCTGCTGTAGGATATTTTACATCTCACACCATAGATGGGATGGGGCAGCTTTGGCTGCCAGGAGGAGCCCCAGCCCAGCAGAGGGGCTGTGGCACTCACCCAGCACAGAGGGCTACAAGACAGAAATCAGATGCACTCCAGATGGGAATTGATGGACCTGCTGTTGAGCATCTGCCTGAAATACTGCTCCCTTGTCTGTCCTACCCCTGTGCTCGGAAAAATTGGTTCTCATAGTCTCAGCCTACAAGCAGGGCTGGCAAGATTTACTCAAAGAGGCTGGAGAATGGATGTCTTTAGGCTGCCAGGGGGTTTCCTTTAAATAGGGAGATTCATTCCCAGATTCCCCTGAGCAAAGCATGACATCTGGAGCAGTCAAAGCATCTGCTTAGTATCCGTTCATATTAACTGAAGCTAAAAAACAGGTCATAATACTGTCAAACAATATTAATATTCTGCAGTGGTGTGTTATGTTGCTTTTAGGATAGAAGCATATTTTTTTCTGAAGTATTTTGCATACTATTTACTAAAGTACCCTCAATCAGTGCAGACATGATTCTGGGCTCCCATCTGGTTTACACCACTGTAATTTCAATTTTACTTCATCACAGGAAGTCACTGTTTTATTCAACCAAATTAATCAGAACTAAGTCTTGTGTCTCAGCATTTTGACAAACAGGAGAGAGTTTGTACCTTGAAATTATAATTTGAATTCAATTTAAGGATGTTAGATTGTTTAATATAACTGCTCCCAAGAACAGAGAAGTCAGAGAAAATTGTTACTATAATATCTCTGAGAACTAGTTGTTACACCTGAATACAAATTATTGTGCAGCAGTAACCCTGCAATTATGTGGTTATTGTTGCAGAAAAGGACAATGAGAATTCTTGTATTTCAATCCTTGTTGGTTTTGTACTTATTGGATGATCTTCAAATATATAATTTTTTGCAATATTTTGTTTGAGAAGAGTGATAGCTCTACATATAACAATAGTGAAAAAAAATAGCCAGATTAAGCAGGAGACACAAGCACTTCTAACATATCTTATGTCCCTGTTTCTACTGTCTCTGCCCTCGCAAAGGAGCCCTCTCCCTTTCACATCGTACAGGAAAATAAAACAAGCCTGCTTTTTGAAGGCTTGGTTGATTTTGATCCACTCTTCTGCATGGCACTCAGGAAAGTGGTGAATGTTTCTATGACATTTCTAGAAATATCTAATTTTTTTACAGGTTTATATGAGTATGGTTCTTGTTTATAAGGTTCAGGTTTATATGAGTATGGTTCCCTGCTTTGGGGAATCTGTATTGGTGAAAATGGAGTTGCATAAGAGAGAACAAGTTTAAAGTATGAGTTCCCTCTAAACCTAAATCCTTATTTTGCAGTTGTCAAATGCAACAGGAAAGTCCTTGGTGTAACAGCTTTCTTTTTCCCAGATGAGTACAGGCTTCTGACAAATCACCTTGTTTTTCCTTCCATGGGCAAGGGAAAGAAAGAAGCCCATTTTAAAATGACCTATTATAACATAGCCAAAAGCACAACATGGTAAATCAGTCACCATTTCAAATGTCTATCTCTGTGAGTCAGTCCTGCCTTTATTGTTCATTTAGAAGCCGTGTTGCTGGCAACTTTTCCTATTATTGTCCTTCTGGAAGTACCTGGCAGCAGAAAATGTCAAAAAAGGATGCAAGACTGTTAATCTCTATTGCAGGGTGTTTACTGCTCGGGGTCTGCTGTGCTCTAGCATCTTGCAGTGTATAACACCCTGTTCAGTGCCACGCTTTCCTAAACTGCCTGCTTCCTTTATGGCTCCTCTGTGGCCTTTTCTGTTTTCTGAGAGAAATAGGATGTTTTAAGACATGCTCTATTTTTTTATTTTATTGCTCTTGTTACAATATCTCTGTCTCTCTCTCTCTCAATATTTCTTAAATTACTCTGGTTGCCACAGCAACCTGTGCAGGATATTGCTGCAGGAGGCATCTGGTATGGCAGAGCCTCCGTGCTGCTCAGCTCACTCGTGGGCACAGAGCTCAAGGTGATGCTCAGCACTCAGCTCCTCCACTGGGGCTGGCGGCCTCAGCACCTGGGATCTGTCCCCACAGCTGGTCAGAAATCAGCTCCCTGCCTTGCCTTTGGCCTTTTCAATTCACAGTCACAACATTTGCTGTCACAGGAACTCCTAGGCCATTTGGTACCAAATACTTTGTATCTCAAGTTCTCGTCCTTTCTGAGAAGTGGACACCTGCTTTCAGCTGCTGCCTCTGTACCCAATCCTTCTTAGGGACACCTTAAGAGCAGGTGCAGTCTCCTAGACACTGTTGAATATTTTTCAGGAAAATATACACCACAGCAGTTTTGAGGAGGGTAGGAAAGGCTTGGGGAGAGAAGAGAAGCCACAAGCATGCTCTTTTTTCTGGAAACAAACAGTCTCACTTCAAAAGTGTCCTTTGAGAGCTCAGGTTCCCCTTTCTAGGGGCAGATGAAGGAGATGAGCCTGCTAGGACCATCTCAGCCACAGCTGAGCTGGCTGCGTGAGCTGGCTGTTCTTCTGCTCAAGCCAAGTCATGGGCAAGCTGTGGCAGAATGTGTGTGGCCACTCATGGAGCAGTTGCCACACTCCTGGGCACATGCAGACCTTCCTGGGGTATTATCTGTGCAGACACACCTGGCACAGACCTGGTGCATTGTCTGCTGCATTCCCAAAGAGGCGCGCGCAGGGCAGGGATCAGTGGTGCCCAAGTGACGTGCAGGGCACTACCCTGAAAGGAGCCTTTCTGGCTTCAGTGACCTTGCTTTGCCAAGCAGGTGAAGGCAGCTCTTTGCTTATGCTTTGGTCTTTATTAAAAATTTGTTTGTTGTTTGTTTGTTTGTGGAAGACCTTTACACTAGTTATGCTTAGCATATTCCAGTCACTAGTGATTCCAAGTACATTGGAAGAGGGCAGGTTAGAAATTCTGATGAAACAAGTTTTCTTTGTATGTTAAAAATTTGCCAAGTGAATTCAGAAGTAGGCACCTTGAAACCAACAATGCTGAACTCTGATCTAAGTAGCTTTTTCTCTGTGAGGGTCAACATGATTTGGATATGTCTTTAATTTTTTTTCCTATACATAACTTGCACTCTTGGACCTTCATTTAGTTTGACTTGGTATTCCACCTCTGTACTGTGATAATAAACAATCACAGATCTCTGCTGCCCTGATTTTAAGGGGTTTTTAAGCACTTTTTTTGCCCAAGCAGGATATACTCCTGTTGACCTCAAAGACAGTTTCTGTGAAAACTACTGAATTGAATAAGGACTGTGCCATGAGGGACCATGCTGTTCTGCAAGAAGTATTTCTGGCCTCTCTAAAATTAAAGTCATTGTTCTGCTTGGAGGCCAAGAACCAGCAAAATCCTTTGTGTGTTCTTAATGCATGGCTACAGAAGTGCCTCACCAGCACTGAGCTGGCATTTACTCAGGAATCATTGAAATCAAGATTTAAACAGCTGTTGTTCCATCAGTCACCTGATCAAGTATCAGTTATATTTCACCTTCAGATCTATTCCTGTGAGAAGTGGTTTCTAACATTTTTAAATAGTATTTTCTCTGACTTTGTGGCTTTGTATTTGCATTATATGGGGCTATGTGGCTTTGTATTATAAACTTAAAACCTTGTCATAATCACTATTTATAGGAAAGAAATGTTGTCTACTCAAGTGTAAACAAACCATTAATCTTCTCTGTTTCAGAAAAATCCTGTTGAATTGAACCAACATTTACTCAGTGATCATAATTATATTGTATGTCAGTTTACACAATGCCAAGAGGATTTATTCTATGTAAAGTACCTTTAAAATACTACAATTATTTTAAAGACACAAATAAGCTCAGAGAGTTAAGAACAAGATCACTTTGGTGGACTGTCTAAAGAAGTAGTCTGCTCCTACCTTTTTGTTGATTTTTGTTTCCAGGACAGATTTCTAAATTCTGCTAATCTCCATTTGGAATAATTAACTATTATAATAACTTTGGCTTAGTTAATTTTAGTGAATAGATTATAATAGAAATAATTTAATGAAGAGACAGTTCATTCTGGTGGCCAGATGTCCTTATGAAGGAAAAGACTACAAAACCTATTCTTTTACCATAATCAAGCCAGAAAAACACAAAGGTATTCCCTATTAGAGATTTAACTGCTAAAAATAAGTTGATTCTTACCTTTCCAAAACTCCCTTTCCCAATAGCCCGCAATATTTGAAAGTGGTCAAAGTTAACTGCAAAATAAAGGAGAGAAGAAAAGGAAAATAGTTTGTAGTGTGCTAAGTCAGAATCAGACATCAGATAAGAAAAGAAATTACAGTGTGTCCAACTAATGTCTTTTTACAATGTGGTATTCAATTTTTCCTCTTAAAACACCAAATATACTTAATAGCTAGCAAAAAAGAAGTTTGCTTTAAAATATGTTGCATTCATTTTGTTCATCAATTCATCTTGGACCAATGTCTTCAGTGCCCAGTATCTCCAAAGAGAAATATATCTCTGTCCTAACCAAGTAACAAGACAAAAGTTAGCATCTTACAGTCATTAGCAAAAATTGCTCAGTATTTTCCAGAAATATTAAGATCTATTAAAAGGACACTGAATAATTCAAGAAAGTAACACCCTCTACCTACAGATATGTAATAACATATGGTTAGAATTTTTACATTAGTCACTCTTCAAGATAATTCCCATATTTTGTTACAGTGATGGAAGATTGCACACTTGATGAGGTAGTATGATCACCAAAGTTTTCCACCTTAATGCAATACATAATGCTAATATTGTAAGACTATTTCCTAATTTTAGCATAAGTTTGTTTTGAGAGATTGCATTTTAGGTTGAAAGTGGAATGGATTTACTTGCACTTCAGGAAAACCTGATAGCACAGCCTGCTCTAGACACTGAAGTGCTTTGCTGGTAGGGTGAATGAGATTTCATTTCTCAGAAATGCCATTTTTATTGGTGTTACATGAGTTTAAACACAGCATGACCTTCAAATATTCATTGGTATATCTGGTGGTTTTAAAAAAATTCCAACATCCTGAACAAAATTGATGCAAAGTCACCGAAATACAAACACAACAATGTGTGATACAGTTTTTACAGTCACTTCTCAGAAAAAATCACACTTAGAGCTAAATTCAGTGAACCAGAGATGACAAGGTTCAGTGCAACATAACAGGACTCTTTTTTTAATTAAAACTTATGTTCCTGGCTTTGCCCATGGACCTTCATCTATGCACCTGTCATTGATGTAACAGTAACTAGCAAAATTGTGGAGACAGACCATCACTGGAAAAATCATAGAACCATACAATGGTTTGGGTTGGAAGGGACCTTAAAGATTATCTCGTTCCAACCCTCCTGTCATGGGCAGGGCCACTTTTCCCTGAACTGGTTTCTCAAAGCCCCATCCAGCCTGGCCCTGAGCTCTCCAGGGATGGGGCAGCCACAGCCTCTCTGGGCAACCTGGGCCATGTCCACCCAAAAGTGTGGTAACAAGAACAAACACAACAAAAATGTGACACATCAAGATGAAGGAGAAAATTCTATAAAACTCATAATATAAATATTTGCCAAAAACATTATCCATCTCAAGCTAAGCTCTGCATAGAAAGTTGAAAGGTTGATAGCTATCAGGCCTCTAAAACGGGTTAATATCTTACTTTCTCTGGTGCAATAATATCTCATTTACACTATTAACACCACAAAGAATTTGTTTATTTATGCTGCCTTCAAGGAAACATGGTTGCTCTTTTCATTAGTGCAGCATAGCAACCACCTTCCTGGTAATTGCTGGAGACAAATCAAGCCCAGAGCTGACAGGGCTGAGAGCAGCAGACTCTGTTCTGCAGGAAACAAAGATGGTGAACAAAGCAGCTTTAGAATTTGGATACTGAAATAAAAATGCATGACCTTGGAAAGGATTTACAACCTGCTTGGAAATTGAAAATTGAGAAAAAAAATTTGAGCTGTATCCTGTGAGAATTGGGGCTGCCCAGATGTTTGAGAAGCAGGATTGTCTGTAAGCAACCTGCAGCTGGGGTCTCTGCTGAGAGATTTTACAGTGTAAAATCTCTTGTAGTTCTTGCTGGTCTGATGAACAAGATAGTCAGTTTTGCAAAACCCCCTTCCACATGAACTTACTTCCACTTAAATCCTGTGCCTACCACTCATCCCTCCCAAGTGCATGACTGGGCTGTCTAAGATGACCCTTAATTTAGGTAGGAATTCAACACAGTGTAGAAAATATCCTAAACAACATGTGAATCTCATTAATTTCTTTGATGGGAAAAAATAATCCTAAAATTCAGCACAGCATGCTGGTGGTTTTTGTGTCACTCCTCTGTTTTCAAACTTTCTCATGTTTCTGCTTATTTTGTTAAGTATTTAACATGCACATTCGTTAAAAAAGCTTATTTTGAATTTGTTCTTTACCTTGCAGTCATTCAGCTGAGTCCAGTTGCCAAAACAAGTGAGAAATTGTAGAATCAGTCTGTAATTATCTCAATTTGAGTCAAGTCACATTTCAGTAATACTTGACTGTATTATATTCTGAGATCTGACATGTTTTGAAATACATCAGTTTGAAGAATGATTTTGTTTTTGTAAAACTAAGTTTAAGCATTTATCTGTAGCTATGTAAAGGATATTTTTTATTGTCCACATAACTTCTATTTCTCTGCACTTCCATCTTTCATGTGTTTATTGCTCTGAATGACTAGAACAACTTAAATTTTTAATTAGATTATTTGTAAATTAGACTTCCATACAAATGAAATTATTAAATGAGGCACTAGAATATGGAGCTGAAGATGGATTACTAGTAAGCTAAATAAAAGTGGTTAAAAATCATAGATGCAACAATTGATCAAATTTTCTCAATTGTTATGTTTAACTTGAAAAAAAGTGAGATGTTACATTTTCATATCTTCATTAAGAAAAAAAAAATTTTATAGCTAACAGTCCCATGAGCATTATTTACATTAAGGTACAATTATTGTAATGCGTTTTTTGCAAGAGAAAATAAAGCCAATTTTAAATGACTGAGGAAATATGTAAACATGGCTGAGCCTGCATCTAAAATGAGCAAGGCTTACAGCCACTGTGGCTCTCTGGAAAGGAATAATTCACTGAAGTGAGACAATTCAGTCTCTTTTGATCATTCAAACATACCCCCAACATTGCAGATTTACAAACTGAGGAAGTTCCTGCTTTGGAATATTAGGACAGAATAAAAAGTGGGCTACCTTGCAGCTGAGACTAATTCACTGAGTTCACCAAATTCACTGAGTAACACTAAGGGCCTTCAAGCAACATTCCCATCTAGGACACAGCAGCACCTCCCTGATAGCAGTGAAGGGTTGAGCTAAGTTCACTGTCACCTTGGTACCACATTAGCCATACACCCCAGGTGTTTTCCTCAGAGGTTTTTAATCTCACACTCTCAAAATTTTGGGCTAATTTTGTTCATCTCAATCTTTTTTTCATGTTCTGTATGTGCTTTTTTTGTCTTTTCTGGTGAAAATTCAATGCCAAAGTATCACCACTTACTCTGAGAAGAATTACAGCTCATCATGACCTCTGTCATTTTCCAATGTTGAAAATACCATCAAGTTCAAACACTGCCATTTTCTCTGTGCAACAAGGACATCAGGAATATTAAATTCTTGTCCTCCAAAACATGGCCTGTCTTGTTCTTGTGGTGCCTGGTGTTGTAGCTAATGACATTTTTCTAGTGCAAAGCCCCACTGAGATAATGGTATGGCTGGCAGAAGGACATTTTCTTCAGTGTCAGTAATATGACTATTACTTTTGAAAATAGCTTTCTCTACTCAAGAGAAAATAATTCAATTCTCAAGAGAATACTTTCTTTTACAGAGAAAAAAATATTTTCCAACTCTTTGAGCACTTCTTTCATTTTATTCCCACACCATACTTTGGAGGTCTTACACATTGTCTCAGAATTTGAGTATAAGAATATGAACTATTTTCAGAAAACAAAATTTGTTTGTATTGTCTTCAGGTAATTTTTCATGCAAGTAAACCCACAGTTAAACTTATTAACAACACCATGAGAGAGTTTATTTCCAGTTTTTTTGATTTCCATCAATTTGGAAAAATCAAGTATCATAATTTCCACTCCCTCATCTCCCACCTCCATCCCTTAAAACTTCTCCATTAATTCAAAACTAAGGAATATAGAATAAACCAGATATTTTGCTAACTAAGAGAGAAAACAGATCAGCATTTATGACACTTTTATGACAACAGGTTTCATGGTATGGTATTAGAGCAATGGATGCCTGTTAATTTCAGCAATGTGTTGTACATATACATATAAATACTTTATTTTGTTTCTTTCCATTCAGTCATACTCAAATAAACCTTCAATTCATCCCTTTGCACAAATTCAACTCTCTATTAATGACTAATAGTGCAAGCATACCTCACTTGGATTAGAATATTAGATATTTTCAAATTAGCCCCATGTAGAGCATTTTCCAGTAGTTTGATCTTGAACAAATAAGAGCCAGATAATGGCAACAGGATGCACAACTGAATTAAAGGTTTCATCCTGCTTGCCATGAAAAGCAAAAAAATGGGGTCCTAACTGTTTTAGATAATTGGTCAAATGTATTAGTGTACTCAAAAACTTTCAGGAATATCTAGAAGGATGGTGCTGTGGTTTGTGCCTGAGTTTTACACAGGAGCATCTCTGCTGCCACAGTCCTCTCATGTGACCTCAGGTGAGTGCTCCAAAATCTTCTGCTGCTCTCTGTAGAAAAATGAATTATTACATCTCCAGGCAGCTGTAAAATTAGGTATGGAAAGCACCTTGGAGCTCAGACACACAAGTAATTGGGAGAATAGTAAAAGCCAATTCAGGTAATAGTGATAAAAGCACCATGAAGACTGAAAGCCATTTTTAAAGCTTGAGGAGTCTACACCACTGTGGAAGCAGAGGTATAGAGATCAGAAAATTGATTCAAACCCCACACATGAGGTTGTGGCAGAGCTGAGAACAGAACCCAGTTTCCATTTCACACCACACCTTCTCTTGCATGTCCTCCAAACTGCACAAGCCCTGATGGAACAGATATTTGGTATCAAACTTTCTGGTGAAAGATAAAATACTTATTTCTTTCTCCACTGCTCCCTGAGGACAAAGTATACTTTGGAGGAAATATTCAATTGTGTTTTTACAACCACACTGCAAAAACACTGGATA